TACAGAGTGTAACTAGTGGCCTCGCCACCCTCTTCGGTAGTCAAGACTGTTGGCCTGACCGCTGCAGGCTACCTAGTTCAAGTTATGAACCAGGTTTAGTATTTTGAATGTCAAGAATATTAAATACCTGTTGTCCACCAGACGTAAGAATGACTTGGTTTAAAAAATGCTGCTTTTTCCCTTCTTTGATTTAGTAAATCTAGCCAACAGTGGAAATGACCTGATGCCATAGAATGCAAATCCTCCCAAGGCGTTTAGCACCCCCAGAAAGACCAAAAGCCACACTTAGGACTTTGCTCTATTCCTCTCATAGCAGTAAAGACTTAGAAGTGTGATTGCCCTCCACATTTTAAGCAACAAAGGAAGGCACCGAGGATGACACTGGAGTTTTCCTTAAAGGAGCAGGCACCTGAGAAATAGGACAGAGTTGTACAGTAATTCCACACACACGATTCCCACTAGAATCTCTCTGCGGAAAGATGCTTCAGTGGACCTCAGGCATTTGGGGGTGTGAGGGGGATGGATGAATGAGTATGGTGAAGTCACCCCAAAGCAGTGTCCAACCTGTAGAACTGGAATTCACACTTTGCATTGCGGCCTGTCTCTTTTTGCATTTGGAGAAGTTCCTGGTCGGGGGTCTCCTTCCTCCCCATGGCGGGAACAGCAGCATGTTGGATTATGGGAAAGATCGGCAGTGGATGAAGGTGAAGCTCACCCTGTGGGAGTCACTGAGCAGCTGCTCAGGGCCGGCTGTGGTTTGTTAGTCTATTGCCTGGCACTGAACTGAATTCTGAAAGAAGGGTATTCACACGCGTGTCTGTTTTTTAACATTTTCCAACTCACCACTTTCCCTTTCCTTGTAGGACCACCTTTAGGGCAATCAGTAGGACAATGGTACTGACAGCATCAGAGCAGAGTTTAGGTTTTATTAAAGGGGTTGGAGCCTCATTTAAGGCTGGAACAAAAATCTTTCCAGGTTATTCTCTCATGGTTCTCTCTGTGATGGGCTATGGAGAGACTGAATTTCCCCTCTTCATTCCCTGAATGAACATACTGACGGGACAAAGGTTAAGAGGAACTGGATTGTCAAAAGCCCCAGAGTGAAGGGAGCTGTGTACTTACAGAAGGATGAGCACTCTACCCCAAGGCCTTGGATGCAAGAGGACTCAGGCTCCAATTCTGCCAGTGTCTTCAATAAATCATTTGGCCTGGTTTCCTCATTTATAAACACACTAACGATAGTTCTTTAACAACTGCACAGGATGCTCGTGACATCCTCCTGGAGCAGGCTCCTTCTCACCGACAGGTCCTCCTGTCCTGACACTTCCACACTCCCTCTCCCAGGGCGGATTTTCTCCCTGCCCCTACCCTTGCTTTCACTTTATCTAAGATTGTGTTTTCACAGCACTTGTCACTGTCCAAAATTTGTGTTTCAAATATGTGAGACTAGAAAGTCACCATATGAAAGCCAGGCTGTGCCAGTGACAGCCATGGCCACTCCAGCTCCCATTTGGTCTTGTTCACTGCTGCATTCCTGGTGCCAGCCCAGCGCCCAGCACACCAGGCTCAAATTTTGTTGAATGAATAGATTAAATGAGATTAAAGGCGAGGAAGCTTTCTAAGCTATGAAGTATGAAACACACAAATCATACCACACTTTGGAGTCCTGACCCGTACCTTAAGGGTATCTGTCTAGCTCACCTAGTTTTTGACTTTTTCTATATTGCCATTACTATTAGTCTACCAAGAAAACAAAACTGCCTGTTGGCTAAACTTGGTGCATACTTTATGAGTGGGCCACTAAGAAAAGAGATCTCCCTAAATGCCATGGCACCTGAGACTCTCATGCAAATTCTAAGCAGGTTCAGTGAGACCCGCAGGACACTCCAGGAACCAGTTGCCATAACGTCTACCTCCATTAATACTCTGGATGCAAAGGGTTTTAAAAGCTTCCATTATCTAACTTTGAAGTCTATTTGAGTCCATGCTTTGTGAACCACTTATGGGACTGGATTCTTCCCAACACTTGGGTAAGGGTGATCACATTGTGCAGAGCTGCCCTCTATCCATATTTTTTTTTGTGGATTATGAGAGACATGTAGGGTGTTTCAGGATCACCTTCTTATTTGTAGAACAAGAGTTGAAAGCAACCCTGGCATTTCTCGGTGCCTCTGCTTCAGTGAAATACGGATAGATGGCTTTGAGTGTTCTGCAGGCCAGTCTCTGGCACACTGTTACCTCTCTCCACCGACTGTTTCCAAGGCCCCCTCCATTGCTGAAGGGAGGGAGGCAGTTGAAGACATTAATTTTTTTTTAAAGATAAAAATGAAGGATAAATATGCTTAAAGCTTTTCCATTCCACATGGGTGGCAATAACCACCAGCTGTCACCAGGAAACGACAGATACAACTGATAAAACGATTCAAAACGCATGTGGATTCATCATCAATAAAGCTAACACCCAAAAGGTACACAAAAGGTTCAAAGTAGAACTGCATAAGCTCCCATGTCTGCCAATAATTAAATCACTGAACTACACACCAGTGTCATTTTTTAATGCAGATTACAGAGCAAGATTGGCTGGGTGACTTGCTTTGCCGGATGAGGATGGCACACCATATGCTGCTTATGAAACTGTCATTAATTGAGGAGGTGGCACTGGCGAATGGGGGACGTGGGGACAGAGGGCCAAGGAGAAAACAGACCATCATCTGGAAATACACAATATTTTTCAGCTATACAAAAAGGATGAAATTTCTATCCCCGTGCAGCAGGGAATGGATAATATTATTCATTACCACAGTTTAGCATTAAATGTGCAACACCTACTCTAATTTATTGATGGGCTGTTTAAGACGGGTGTTAACCTGTTTGTCTTGTATTATAATTGAATTCAGTCTCCAGGCTACAGAAATTTGAGAAGTTCATCCTTTCTCAATCAATATGCTCCCCTTCAGTGACCCATTTCAAGACAGCTTCATAAAAAATAATGTATTTTGTTTTAATAAATTTAAACACTATGACAGCTGCTCAATTTTTATTGGTTGTTTTTTTCCCTTCAGATGTCTCTTTGCTGCCGAGTGAAGCCAAGCTCACAATCAATAGTAATTGATTAATCAGCATCCCCTTTGAACAAAGGTGCTAATCAGTTTTTGATTAGTTCATCAAACCAGATGCAAAGGCAGCCCAGCTCGAGCCTGCTAGTTCATCACTGCTGTACATGACTTACGGCTCCTGAGCGATAGGACTGCAGTGTTCTTAGTGGGAGTGGGGAAGGGGACAACGTAATTATTAATTTAACTGAGTTATTATGAACACAAACAGTTGTTGGTTTATAGCTCCTGACATGGATGATTGATAGAACTGCAGCAGGGACCCATCTGACACAGTGCAGGGCTGAGAGCTAGAGTATTCCTAATTGATGATGCTGGTGGAAGGGGTGGATGGCCGATTTTGTAATGCATGCCATTGTTTGTGCGTATCTGAGTGATCCTTGTCTGACTAATGTGCCAGGAGGGATCAGGGCTGCTCAAGATATTTCTTTTTAGGATCCTTGAAAAGATCCAATTGCCAGGGCCACTGGGTTCGAGGGCTGTGTTGCTTAGAGTCTGTATCTGAACTAAGACCACCTGCAACCAGCAGCACATGCTCCCCATTACATCCAGCGTTACATGTTAAGCACGAAGGAGGACTTGTTTTCAATAAAAGTTAGGGTAATGCTTTTAGAAATTCTCAAAATATACCATAAATAAGAGGTAAACAAAACACCGCTGATGGGCTGGCTACTACCTGTGTACTTAAACTCCTTGGGACTTGGATTCACTCATGCACCCAACACTACCATCTGGGTGCTCACTACAGGACAGGGATGCAGCAGTGCACAAAACCAGTGGAGCCTCCTGGAAGCTTCAAATCCTGGAAAACCCAACAGCTAAGCTCACACTGGCGCACAGTAGGTCACAGAAAAGTAAAGGTATCCTTGAGGTTTAACAGAAGCATATAGTTCGCAACACATCTATTGTATTTTTAAAAACTGGGCAGCTTCCAGGTAGTAATCTTGTTTTCCCACTGAGTGAGACTTAAAGTTAAGGACTTCACCTCAGCAACCAGCTCAAGGGAGCGGCAGTGAAAACTTCAGCAAAGAGTGAAATGAAGCCTTCTTTTCCAGTGGGCTGGGGCGATCATCTGCAATCCTATCCCTCGTTGCTTCCCATCGAGACAGCAAGGGGAGGGCCTTGCTTACGGATTTGCTAGGTGGCTGATGGAAATGTTTAAGGAGCTGTAACTGGCTGGGGGTGAAGTCTCACAACATCATGGGAGCTCATATAATGGTTTAGCTCTCACCACTTTAAATCTCCTCCCTCCCTTCTTTTTAGGACATGCTTCTTATTCTGGATTAGTAACACCTAAATCCTGGAATCAAGCATGAAACCTACTTTTCCAAGAGCTCAGTGTGCTGTGAAAAAGGTCTAAGGTGGATAATTAGTTTACATCATGGTGTGTGACAAAACAATTGCCCCCCACCCCTGTTCACCCCTGCCCTCCCCCATTCCTTGCCTCTGAAATAATTCTGACATGGGTTTCCAGTCTATTCCACAGAAGTAGACAGTCAATGTGAGTTTAAGATCTTGTCACATAATCCAACATCCTTAAACTGCTTTGTAATGCAACGAAATTTCTCCTGAGCCATTACATATCTAGAACATAAACATTGTTTGAAGCCAGTGAACCCAGAGTGGCTTTAGTACAGTCCCAAAGATAACTTGACCTCTACTGCATTAACAGCTCTGGCCTCAATCTGAACTACAAATGCTACGAAGAGAAGGGGAAAAGTGAATGGGGGGGAAGGAAGTGTTGATAAAAATCTGTTGTTTTGTTTTAGTTTCAAAATCCACATGTGCCAATTGATTGCTCAGCAAAGCAAATGGCCGTTTTGTAGAAGTGGACAGAGCGTCCACAGGTTGGACACTGCAGTGCCTTACCTAATGACTATCCCTTACCTGAGAGGTCCTCACTGTCCAGTTCTTCTGCGGAATTGGGCAACTGAGTAAGGCCTTACAAGTAAAAACAAATCGTTTTTCTTTTCATTCCTCAAGGGACATAAACAAAACACTTAAGAACTGAGGATGAAGTTTTTAAAAAAAACATGAGCCAAATCTCTTGCTATCTCTCACGTTTTTTGGATAGCTTAAATGTAGTAATCCATGAGTTCATTTCTTCAATCATATAATTTTGTTATTGATACACAATCGAGGCAGAAAGATTCCTCAGTCTCCACTGTTCAAAGCACATGAAACATGAAGGTGAATGTTTAAAATCACTCATTCATAACAGCATGCAAAAAGAAAAAAAAAGCTTGACTGTTAGCTTTGATGCTCTGCTATATCTCTTAAAATACAAATGTATTTAGATGTTACATACTGATGTACGTACGTTTTATTTCACATTTTACTGTAAATTGAAATCCTTTGCCAATACTGATAAACAGTTTGTTATCAATTTATGATGATCTTGGATCACATATTTCAAAATGGTACAGCATCTGCTAACTGCAGATTGCAGGTTATGCCTTCATCAGAAAATCTGATTCGTGAAATGATTTTTTAAAAAGAGAATTTCACAAATCAATGGTATTTCTGAAAAATAAAACCCTCAAAGCTGAAAAAGCAGTTAGGTCAGGAGGTAATCAAGTAGGGGCTTGGAAAGGCCTGTGTCCCAGCCAACCCTCATGCTGCCCAGCCGCGCTGTTCCGCAGCTGGCTTTGACTTGAATTAAAGGAGGTGAAGAGGGAAGCAGATAAACAGTGGGAGCTCAGCCAGGAGACGGCTTCCATTTCCTCGTATCTTACTAGTGGGCTGGTCCTTTAATAAAGTTTACTAAACACAAATATTAGACATCGAGGCAGCCTAGGCTTATTCTTTGGCGCTGTGCTCCAAGCCCATTTGATTATCCGAGACTCTCAATTCCCAAAGCCGTTTGCTTATCCTTCTGTAATGAAATCAGCCACTTCGGAAGATGCTGGTGGGCCTATTCAACAGCAAACTCTTTTGCAAGGTCTTAGTTTTGCATCTTTTCATTCTACAGCCAAGAACAAAGTATACTCTCAGTAAATGTTTGTCAGAAGGAGGGGCTGGGAGTGATTCTCAGTGACCAACCAGAGCCTAAAAGCAACTAAAACAAATGCTCTGAAGACCAGTCATGTCATACTGATAGCTTTATTAAAAAATACCAAATTAACCATGAAAATCCTTTATAAACAATCCTAACTCTTGGATTCTGTCAGGTGCTTGATAAAGAAGCCAACTGACTACTGATAGCCAGGTTGATTCTGTGAGAGAAGGCTGTCACATTATCAGCTCCAGAGGAAGAACCCTTGGATTTCAATACTCAAGGGCAGGTGCCAAACCAAAATGAGACACTCTGGATTCCATGTGTTCCCAAACTCTGGATTTAAGGTAACCAAATGCAAAGCAATGAGTCATGAATAAATTATAGGCCAAGTGAATAGGGATGCTGTACATCTGTTCTGAAATGTGATTGGTTGAAAGTGTTCCTACTTCTAATTGGCTTTATCCATTGTATAAAGACTGATGAACATAATTATTTGAATAAATGTTATAAATGGCCAATGTGAAGTACTTCTTTGTAGTTAATTATGAATTTGCAGTTCTCTGAAGGCTAATCCCTCACTTCTACGGGGCCCAATGAATATCAAAGTGTTCTATATATGTGCTTATATATCACTAACCACATTAAACAGAGAGGTTTCAAGCAGGCAGCTTTACTGCTGAAGGCTCCTTTCCTTGGGGAGGGCTTTAGAAGGCTAATTTTAAAAAATGAAGACAAATATGTTTATGGAGTATCATTGATATGCAAAGTTTTCCATTAAGAAGTGACAGACAGTTGATATACACCTCATTAAAGCTGAAACTGTCATTTTTAATGACATAAACTCTAAAATATACCAAATCATATGGAATGTGCTGCTGGGATTATGTTCCAAAGTGGGAAGACATTTAGGCTAGTGGCGTTAAATTTGTTTTTGCAATTCTATTGTCTTTTATGAATCTACAGGGCTCTGGCATGGTTGGATAACTTCTGAATAAATATAATTAGGAAGAACTTACTGAAGCACCCGTGTACAAGAGAGGGTGGACAAGCAAAGCGTACCTCCTAAAATTGCTGGGACTTAGGTGTTTTACCTTCATGTTAAAAATTATACACCTCTCAGTTTTTTTTCCAAAGAAAAAGACAAAGAAACATTGTGAAGCACAGAATATTCTCTGAAAGGAAACTTCACATTTTAACAATAAATGAGAAATTATTCTTGCGTCTCTTCAGACTTTCACATCATCCATTAAAGCTCTTTCTAATCACTTCTAATTAAAATGCATTCAACAACTTTCTTTAAACTTTGTTAAACAAATGAAAGTTTACTTTTTGGCCATATGGGATTCTTTTGACCAATTAAGAAAGTTCCAAAGTGCAAACGTGGTCATTTAATATCTGCACAATGGCTGTCTATTCTGCGGAGTCGTGTGTTTCACCTTCTCGCAGTGGTACAGTGTGCTGGGAGAGAGCCTGAGCCTTCTCAGTGCTTCTGCACTCGGGATTCCTCCTTGTCCACAGTAACTCAGGGCAGTATCCTCTGACAATTTTAAACCAGGGGAAGGAAATCCTCAAACAATTAGAAACTGTAAGAAGCCCTGGGCATTTCAGTAATTTCAAGGTCAAGTGAAATTTAAATGCTTCTGGGTTCGGGTCATCAGGGCATTACTGTTGCAGAAAATTTCAAAGTAAGTACCATCAAATTAAAACCTCCAGGAAACAAAAACTTAGCGCACTGGTTCTGGTACCATTCCCATTATGAAAAACAAAGTAGGCGACGGTCTCTCTCTTACCTAAGCAGCATACATCTGATCACTTGGCCATATTATGGAAACTGTTACTTCCATCACCAGCCATAAGAGTTCAGACGCCCCCGGTAGTTTTAATCTAAAAGCTCAGTCATCCTGTTCTTCCTGCTTTGTCAGCTTTTGTGGAGAGTTTTTCCCTTCTTCCCATGAGCAGAAATTTGGTTCACGCCGTTAAACAGTAGCACATTGTTTCCAAACTGCATTATCGAGGCTGAAACACAATCTTCAGGTCCTGCAGCCATTGGTAAACCTCTTTAGCTTTGTTCTTGGGTAGAACGTACAATGTCTGCAGAGTCCCTTGACTGAATGACAGCCTCTGAATGCCATTGTTATGTACTCATACAGAGAGATGTACATAGAGGTACATACACAAATGGTGGACATAGCGGTTGTAATAATGCGCACTGCTGGCTTGTATTTCTCTAAAATGGGTTCAGGAATTATCCCACAATTGAATATTAAGATAAGGAAATTTCATGTGCTTTTAGAATTCTATCATGGTTTGAACTACTTGGAACATTGTCAGGCAAAGGAAGATTCATGGGGCAGGTACCTAGGGGAGGCAGTCTAGGGCATAAGCATGTATCTAGTATTGGCCAAACATTTTGAAACTAAAACTGAAAGTAAAAAATTATTCTTCAGAGGGGTTTCCAGTTACAGACTGAATTCAGATCTATTTAAAAACTCATTTGGGATATGAAAATTCATGAGATCATCAGCCTGTCTGTATCAAGAGGTAGAAAAGGCAAGAGGGCAGGGTAGATTTGAAAATAATAAATTGAGAGAGGGAAGGAGGGAGAGAGGGATACAGAGAGAGAGAGAGAGAGAGAGAGAGAGAGAGAGAGAGAGAGAGCTCAAACCCAGAGGAAGCCAGCTGACTGCAGTGCAGCAAAAGCACAAGCACTATTCCAGACCATGGGCATGCTGTCACCCGACCCCTCACGCGGGGGAGGAGGGTGGGGAAAGGGAGAAGGGACACACAGGGCGAAAAAGAACAAGGCACAAGACACTTACAGAGAAGCGCCCACATTTGAACAAACAAAAACCGTCACACGCACCCTCACATCAATAACCATATGAACAACTATACCACCCGTGCGTCAAATCACTCATGCATTTCTGCCATCAATTTTAGACTGTGTGGAATCAGGATTTGGCAGTGTTTTTTGCATTGCTCAACATGCACACATAACACAGGATTCTTCCTGTCCAGGCCTTTAAGGATGAGCTCCAAAAACACAAATGATCAAGATCCTTATTCAAAGAAGATCCCTTATGAGAGCCTAATCTAAAAAAATTCTCATTCTTACACTCACATTTATCTTTACTATCAGTTAGATCCTTAAAAACACATTCTGATGACTGATTGTTGTTTGCTTTTCTTTTTGGAGAAAATCCATTTGATTTTGAATCATGCCCATGCACTTCTAACCTTCCAATACATGCTTCTTCCAATCAGAGATATTGGTAAGAACAAATGGTCAACATACAAAAACAACTAGTATAAATTTCATACATACTCTAGCAACACAAGCTTGAATAAAATATTTTAATGAGTCTTCAAAGGGAAAGCTTTAACATTTTTTTTTCCTTTTTTACGAAAGGAAAGACAAATACAGAAGGAAATCCAGTATGACAACTTTTAAGAACAGTAAGATGGTCACAGCTGGCTGACCTAATATGTCTTGTCATTTAAGTTGCTAAGTTATCAAGCCACTTAACATTTTTCTAGACTACGATCACCGTAAGGGACATCTCAAGGTTATCATTAATGAATGTAAGTCAAATGGTTGCTGTACTGAAGAGGCTGGATTTTTAGTCTGAACGCACTGGAATAATATCAGTTCTGTATGGTCATCTCACTGCAAATCTGATCACCTGCTTTCTCATTTCTACCATGTTCTATTACCTTTTTATCCTGAAAACTGACCTGAAGATTTCTCCTTTTACATCAAGTAATATCTCCGATATTACTTTGGTTTTCTTTTGAGCTTTCTGCTAAAGGCCAGAGAGTGCTGTTCAAAGTAGAGGTTGGAGCCCTTTGTGAAGATACTATGAGAATTTTGGACAAGTTGAAGCATGTATTTATAAATGCATTATAAAGGGATCAGCTTGGATTATCTATCATTTCTCTATTCCTCTACTGTCAAGGAGTTCAATTTAAAGTATGAAAGAGATGTAGAATACAATCAGACTATTCTTCCTATTTTTGCTCCAAATTTCTCATGCCCTGCTGATCAATAATATCTTACTAACCTATCACCGGTTAGAATATTGTGCCCAAACGGTTGCTTCTCACACTACACAAACCTCTCTATTTCCTGCCACAGGAATATTATCAGGCCCTACTTCAACTATCACTTCATCATACTACTAAAAAAACCCTCATCTTTCCTTTTCCTTCCTAATTAAAATAGTGCTTTAAATCAGATACGGTGACACATGTCTGTAATGCCAGTATTCTCAGAAGCCGAGGCAAAAAATTCGCAAGTTTCTACAAACTAAGAAAAATCCTGCCTCAAAATTAAAACAAAACTACAAACAAACAAACAAACAAGCAAACAAAAAAGGAAGAAAGAATTGGGGACGTACTGCAGTGCAAATACCCTGCTTCAATCTCTAGTACTGAAAAGAAGGTACCTTAAAATCAGGAGCAGCCCCCAAGTTCACTTCTTATTTTTCAGGCCAGGGAACAATTTCCTATTTTAAATACTCTGTCTAGACCTTCAAGGATGAACTAGCTCCAAAAACACAAGTATATGAACTTTACCGAAGGGGCAAGAAAATAAAACTCTGAAGCTTTAGGACATAAATGATAAATCTTCAAAGCCTTACATAATGCAGGAATCATATGGTTATCCTTGACCCTGTGGTTTTTTTATAGGAAACTCAGAACTTAAAGAATTTAAAAAAGAATAGAATAAAATCTCTTGAACTACATTAAAATATCCACAAAGCTCAGAGAATAATCGATAAAGTCAGGAGGTACTCAATTAATGATGAAACACAAATAACTGAGCTTAATGGAGTGTAGTATGTGAGTTGGAGTCAGTACTATGGGGCATTACCTTAGAAAGTGGATGTTTTATACCTAATTGATTTCTCATGACTGTCAGTGTACCTAGTACTTTAACTTCTTTTTCTGGGGGGAGGGGGTTCTACTGAGGATTGAACACAGGGCCTTTGCACTAAGCTGCTCTCCTGTCCCCCAGTGGAAGGTCAGAGTGAAATGGGGGTGGGGGTGGGAGGGATCTATGACTCCAATCCTAAGTTTGTTTTGCTTTCTCGAAATTCCTTCCTGTAAACAAAGGGGTAACCTGCCAACCCTGACCAAGGTCTAAGCTTAAAGGAAAGTTCACATGGATTTTGCTCAGGGGTTTCCATCTGATAAGTTATCAAAGGTAGGTCTCTTTAAGGAAGCCCATCTGGGCTATCAGACATTATTCCAAAAGTTGAATTAATACTATAGGGTTGGCTGATCACCTCGTCATTTAAATGATAAATTTCCACTCTGCCCAACATGAAAAGTGATTGAAGTAGGCCCTTTACCAAATGATTCCCTTGGATTCAATTATTAAAATTCAGCCCATCTTTAAACTAACATATCTTTCTCTAAGCACAATCTTTCTAGGGTTAGATATGAGCAAAGTAATATACAGATGAAACATGATTCTCATTTTCTGATTAGAAAGATAGAGGAAAGTTAATAGACTTATCCCAATTCAGTAAGTCACTGGGAAGACGGAGAAAAGGAGATCAGATTTCCTGATGCTCCTGTCTAAGCTCCATTTATTTAGTTTTTAATCACTTTTTGGTTAAAAGCGTAACCTACTTTCCTGTTATTTTGCCTACAAGGCACTCACACATCAATGACTTTTGAATAGTCTCAGTTAATGCTATCCAAATTGACATATTCTTGGTTTGGAGAAGTTTCCTGCCAAATGCAAGCGTAAGAGATTAAGACTGCGTAAGTGATGGGCAGGGCACTTTATGAACGTAATTATAGTCATGATCTTTCTAAAGACCACTGACCTGCCGCGGCACTGCCTCATGAATGTAAGCAAGACTCTTCCTCCCTGACCTCCAGTCTCCTCCCTGACCTTCAACTTTCATTGCTAAGTGAAACAAATGGACTCCTTTTCAAAATTTCCCTGCGACTGTAGTCTACACATTAAAGAAAGCAACTGGGCCTTTAACTCAGATGCTACGCTTCTTAGGAAAATACTAGAAATTTTAAAGTCCCCTGTATTTCAAGGTTTGACAGAGCTTTACGAGCAAGGAAGACATACAACTCAACTCCTGCCATGCTGGTCAACCAGGGAGGAGTACAACTCATTTCAGACCGCAACCTCTGGCTAGTGACCTCACAACAGAAATGACAAGACTCAACAGCTTTTCAAGCCTTAAGAAATTATAGTATATTTATGAGATCAGGCTACTTGAAATGCGATTTCCCTTGAAGACTACATTTCTCTTTTTCCCAGGCTTGTCTTGCCTCTCAGCAGTGCTGAGCAAGTAGATAAAACAATAATGTGATACCAACCGTGAACTGCTGGTTCTGTCGTCGCCGTTGTGTCTACAGACAGGAACAGAGGATTGGAGGAAGGGAAGAAACAGGAGGAACGGCATGCAAAAAAAGGGAAAATGGAAAAAAATGGAACAGATAATATATGAGCAAGCTTTCAAAGAACATCGCGTGACAAGCAGTAATAAATAAAAAGCAAAAAGCATTTGAAGTGAGTTGCACTGTTTTAAGACATGCCTTGAGCCCAAAGCTGCGAGCCAGTGAGGAAAACAGTAACTTTTGGTTCTGGGGGTCTTGCCAGGACACACGTATTTGCTAGTCAATAGTTAGGGGAACATGCAAAGTGATGAGAAACACCAGTGCAAACTCAGTGCTGGGCAATGGCTCTTAACGCATCAAGGCTCAGGACTGACAGAAAAGCTTGGTCGGAAGCTGGTTAAACAATGGATTCATACATTCAAACATTGCCTTTGTTTTAACCCAACCCATCCTGCACTTGGCCTTCTCGACTGCCAATTAGGCATCACTGAATCAGTCAGGCTTCCAGGATCCTTTCACCGCTTATGCTCAGATGCCTGTAGATGAATATGTATCCACTGTATTATTTCAGCAGCGTGTGGCTGGAAAGTTCAATTATCTGGGAGGCTGTTACAATAGACGTTTTCATGGTTTTCACAGATTTACACACACACACACACACTCTCTCTCTCACATACACACACACAAATACACACCCATCAATTCCTCATTCTGCAGCTCTTAATATGTGTGATACAATCCGAGAGCAGAAGCTTTCTGTGAAAATGCACGAACCCACACAAACTAACAAATGCTACTTCTAATTAGAGGACACTGCAAAAATTTAGCCAGTCAGCTCACAGTTCAGAAACACACTCACTGGTTTGAGTGGCCCGGAGTCTCCGCTGCACGGCTGGATTAGGAGAGGGTACAAGTTATTTACTTAATTTTCACTGCCTGATGCACCTGCTGTGGATGAAACCGTGGTTTGTCTCTTCTTCTATTTCTGACACTGCTCAAATTTCCCTTTTCTTCTACCAGGCTTCTGCTGTATGCACTCTTCTTCACAGGAAATTGCTCCGGACAGTTCAAGAAAGAGCTTTATTTCTGGCTGATGGGGAGTTGGGATAAATATCTAGCAAAATCTATGAAGACGTTTTTCCCAGTTATTTAAATACCCCTCTGTGAGCCAAATTCATTCCCAAGCGAACACATCTGGCTCTGCTTTCGTTCATTTTTATTTCCCACAGCTCTTAAGCATGTTCCCTCTTCTAGCCAGCAGGCCTGATGACACTGGACATGATGTAGTCATCTCTAGTTGAAAGCTGGTAGGTGGACGTAGGATTGGGGGTTAAAACTGTGTGTGGTCCCTTAGGCTTTCATCTTTTTTCAAAAAATGCAGCTATTTTGTTGGTTATTATTTTCATGAGCTCTAGAAACTTGTAAAGACTTTTGGACTTGACACAGGCAATGTTTAAATGCACTGGAACTTCAAATGTAATTTTTTTTCCTGGGGGGTAAGGAGATCAAATGAGCCTGAGCTTCTGATTTATTAACGTGACACATGAATTCACACCAGGGTTTCCCCTCAGTTGGCATGCTTTCCTCAGGATCCTAGATCATCAAAAATTAGAGCCCTTCTCAGGAGCCAGGATAACCAGAAGTCTGAGAGGCCAATGCAGCTCAATATAACTGATAGCTGAATTTCTTTTTTTTTTTTTTTTTGTCTTTTTCCTTTTTATCGGTACCGGGGATCGAACTCACGACCGCCTGCTTGCAAGGCAGGTGCTTATGCCACTGAGCTAAATCCCCAGCCCCCGATAGCTGAATTTCTTAAGAATACATAAAAGGAAAAAACCCCATAAAATACACCACATAAGAACACAATACTTACTTACAAGTCAAGTCTGCGTGCATAAAATAATAGTAAGATACAATACAAGAAACTGTACAATTCAAACATTGTATACCAGATTTTTCAGATACTTATGACAAGTTCTGTTATGTCTCCTTAGTTGAAATACTGAAGTTCAAGCACTTTAAGTTTGAAGGGCAAGATCAAATGCATATTTATGCAAAATTTGTGCAGAACAGTTCTATGAACCTTAATACATTTTATGGGTAGATACTGGCTCCTTTCTAAAATTAAAATAAAAAAAAGCAGTAAATGCTTAGGCTCCTTATTTTTGTGGTAGCACTCCTAATATGCTTTATTTTCACTGGGTAAATAACTAATATAAAACAAAAGAAGGATAGTGGAATAAAAACTCAAGAGTTAGAGTCTTTAAACATAGTATCTGAACATTAACCAAGGACCCCAATTTACTGTCTTCCTGTATCACAACATTATGTCAACTTCATGACAAAATTAAACCAAGGGAAGCTGGGCATCAACTCTTAAGTGACTCGTAGAAAGAAAATGAAGGCACATTCACAGCAGATCTTGCTTTTCTACTCTGGAAATGGGAAATCCATCAATTGCACCCACAAGAAGAGAAAAAAAGGATGTCGAGAAGGAAAACATGTTCTAAAACAGTTAAGCAAACACAGGCTCAGGGCACATAACACCATTACTACAGCTGGGAAAGGCAAATCCGTGGCCGGCAATGGACGGGAGTCCGAGGCGGAGACACAGTGGGCTAGGGAGTTTGGACTAAGACTGCGGTAGATCGGGAGCAACTGAGTCCGTTTCACTGGAAGTTTCTGGTGTGCTACCTCTACAAAGGCTGTTTCAAGGAAAGAATTAAGGAAAAATTCTTTAGAACTGACTTTGTGCTCTCCACAGGAGTGCACTATGACAGAATCTTGTTCACTCTCGTAACTGCATTAGACTTCATGCAGAAACCACAGACACCTGGCTCTGACGTGGTGCAGCTCCATGAAGTAGGATTCACTGGTGTACCTTGGTCAGAAGCTGAAGAATGCAAGCCTAATCCTGTGAGTCAGCTGTGGGGTCACTATATCGTTTGAGAATATTCTGAGTGGATGGGCAAAATGCAAGCAAAATTCCCAGTGTTATAAATGCTATAATCAGCTTTAAAAACGAGTGTCTAGTTGTTCCAACAAAGGCTTAAAAAAAAAAACCTCATTTTGCTGCTGCCTCAAAAAAAAAAAAAAAAAAAAAAAAAACCCTAAAATAAGGTTGAACTGGATGTGTGGTGGTATTAGGTTATGAAATTAAAAAGGCCTGGCAGAGCTACTGAATCTGTTTTAATTACAATGAGGACAAATTTATTGCACATTTATTTTACATGGTCAATAGCAGCAACAAAAATTTTCACTACTTTTGCAAACCCAGTAAGTGTGTAGGGTCTTAGTTGTCATTCGGTAGCTGATTGATAAGTATAATCACACAGGAAATCTAAGGAAGGGCCCTACAGTGTTTCTGGGAAAATGGACATTTCACTAAATACTGACTTCTCAATCTCCCTACTTTAAGTAAATGAAGTATCACATGTATTTCACATGGTGGCATACGATATTTACAAAATGAAAAGGAAAAAGGCTCTGATATGCATGAGATCAGAGACATTGGCTATTTAACCAACTAGCAAAAAATGAAAACTAAATTACTGCAGGAGAGGCAGCTGGGCAATACGCAGCTGAAACAGTCATGTGTAAGACCCACTGTGGCACATTCTAATCCTTTCATATGGATTCTCTCCAACTTAGAATTGTTCATTGAGTGTGACAGACTGGGGGTTTAAAGCTAATCCATAAATTAGTCCGTGGTCTCAAACACAACAGGAGCCATAAATGAAAATGAAAATTCTAGAACAAAATTAAATTCGCTACCTTAAATACTTTTTTTTCCCCATTGATCTGGGGTGCTCCTGCTTTACAATAAACAGCTTCACTACAAGGCCCCATTTTGGGGTGTGTGAGAACAGGGTTTACGTTTAAAAGATGCAGTGGAATAACCCAGAGAATCCAATCTACTCAGAAGCAAAGCTTAATTGTTTAAGAATTTAAATTCTCTCATTCTGATTGCCATAAGCTTAAATGAACGCATACTAAGCAGTGCAGACATATTTTAATATATTTTCTTCCAGTTTATTTTCTTAACTAAAGTCAATAAGGAGCCAATGGGTTTTCTTAATTGAATTCCCCTTCAATCTGTGTTATGGAGGAACATTAAATCTAGACACTAGAGCAGGCAAGGAATTCCCCGGATAATTTCATTTCATAGTTGTACTGAACTGGCCAATATATATTAAATATAGGTGCCTTTCTTTCTTTTAACATACTTGAAATGTACTGAAAGCAAACTAAGTATTGGCAAATTAACCATCAAAATTTGGTTTCTTCTGGTTTCCTGGCTATTTTTCTTGTCATCTATGTTTTGCATTAATTAAACTCTCGTTTCTTAGGGATAGGGGAAGTAGACAGGACAGAACTGAAGCTCAAAGGCCAAACAGGGGGCTGTACTAAAGCTGTCTTAGTGTTTAATGTCATCTCCCTTTTGAGTGAAGAAATCGTGTGCCATGGAACAGCAGGAAGGGGAGCAGATTTTTTTCATTTTTTGTTAAGCAATTTCAAGTTTTGTTAAAAGCTTCCTCAGAATTGCTCATTCTCTGCCGCTGTGCCCCTGAGATCTTTTCATTTGCAAACCAGATGTTTTGCGAAATAATAGGAATCTGTATAGTGATTTCACTTAACAAGAAAAACAATTCCTCTGTCTTGGTGCGTATGAATGCTGGGTGGGCCTGGAAGAGGGAAGTCATGGGCCTAGGGAGGAAGAGGAAGAGGGTGCTGGAAAGGTGGGTATGCCAGTGAGGAGAGAGAGGCTCTGTAAGCCCAGCTGATGTCCATCGTGCAGTAGATGCCAGAGGCCCTGCCTGTCCTGTCAAGTCCTTTATGTCCTACCACTTGGCTCACTGTACAATCTCGAGAAACCTAAATTTATGATATTTTAAAATCTGCGATGTTGATGGACTGTTAGCAAGAAAGCATGTCACATATCAATATGGAGTATATGATTTAAAAACTTGGATAGGACTAGAGGGAGAAAAAACCACATCTCACTGTATTTA